AAGGCAAAAAGATGAATTTGGCTTATTTGCTCGGAAAATCTCAGGAAAGAGAGGTGTGTTCTATCAGTGTGATGTTCGGAGATACTCTTTTCAGATCTCCAATGCCATGTGCAAGTCATTACTCAGCACTGACATATAAGTAATTTATGAAAGACACATACACATAAAGCCATGTTGGTGTCAAACATGAAAGGATTCTTGTGTCGGAGGGAAGTCTTTAAGCACAGCAGGAAGCAGTTTTGTGCATTTTCCTACATTCCTTTCAACCCAGGGTGCCCGTAATGTCTGATTTTATGTGTTCTGGTAGTCAACAAAACTCCACCAAACTAAAACATGTCGGTACCTTAAGGAGGACACTTCTGATGTGCGATGCAGATTTTTAGGCTTCTGTTATAAATGACAGAACATTTAAAAAAGAAAAATTGAACTTTGATCTTTGTTACCAGAAGAGAAAAGTAATACATTTTTGTAATGAATTCCATCAGAGCTTTCTGTTCTGATTGGTCAGCTACAAGCTCATTTCTCATTGGTTGCTACATATGCATACATGTGGATGGAAAATTACATGTGTGTTTGTGTATGGTAGTAGAGGCCTTAACGATGTGCACCCCAGTGCTTTGAACCTTAAACATGAACCCTGACCTCTGTACTGCCCTCTGGTGGACGTAGCCTTTAGTCTGGTCCTGTTGGAGGTTTTGTCATGTTAGAAAATTGTTTTTCCTCCCCACTGTCTCCTACTGCTGCATGATTTAATGTGGAAAGGCTGCATTTTATGAATTGGCATTGGCCTGAATCTTATGGACCGTATACCCATTGTTTTTATATTATCTTTAAAGTGCCTTCAGGTGGCTTCTGTTCTGGATTGACAATATGTAAATAAGATGAACTGAATAGATTTAATGAGTGGGAATGTTTGATCTTACCTTCCCTAACACAAAGAACCAGTGAGTGGGGAGAGTTCCTCCAACGCTATTGGTCTCCTGCCCAACCTACCAATGACTCCACAAATGATGATGTCACCACCTCACCATAGTCATTGATATTTTTTGGTACAGTTTTCCTCATGAAAAGTATGCATACCCTTTTAGATCATAGTGCCCCAACATCACAGGCACAATTTTCAGGGAAATTAAAAAAGGAATTAAGAAGAAAACTGCTCAGTTTCACCATCTCATTTTTGCTTTTAAGATGTTCTTCATTATTTGGATTTTGACATTTAAAATAGTTGCACCATTTTGTAATGTACTGCGCAGATGTCTGTGGAAATACAAGCATAAACTAGGCAGGACAAAAGAATCCTTGGCTAGCATTATGCCAATTGTGCAATTATACCATACTGTTAAAGGTTAGCAGTGTCAGTGTCATGTGGCCTTTGGCTTTGTGACTCAGCACACCTTTTCCAAAAAAACTGTTAAATCATCCTTTATGTAAGGATAAACAAAACATTACAAAAAGCTTCAGACCGAGCATCCTCCCCACAAGACTCAAAGTTAATGAGTATGTCATCCAAATTGAGACCGAACCCATTATTGGGGTCCATTTGAATCAATCTTGCAGATAGTTTTAAAGTTGTGCTGGCCATGGCGTAACCTGGGCATCTGCATAGTTTCTTTGTACTCCACATGACTGCTGGGTTTTCCTTTTTGAGTGCAGGCACTCAGTTTTTGTCTATGAAATGTTGATGAAATCCAAATGGAGAATGCAGAAGCATCAAAGACAACAGACACGGTAGCAGTCGATCTTTTTTCCGTCCACAATTCTGTTGTTACACCGGGATCCATTTATGTGACTCCTCATGCATTCAAAATCAAACCATGTGTCTGCATGCGTGTACATTTTTGTGTGTGTTTTTTGTGTGTGCTTCTAAAATAAACCCTGACTCGCCGACTTAACTGATGGGAAGATTTGCCTTTTGTGTTTTCTCTAAAAATAAGCCATAGAATGACTGCTGAGGCAGACATACACACACATTTATACACACATATACACACACACACACACACGCAGAGAAATGTATATATTTAGTTTTTATACAGTATTGTAGAGGGGCTCCTTTATCTCCTCAAGGTTGTGTTTTCTTAGTCTGTGCTTGGCTACCATATCTTTTTCATTATCTTGACAGTTTTTGGTGAACTGTTATCTATACATCATCCTATTTATTATACCAGCTTAGTCACAGAGGGAATGTAGCCTATTCCAGCTGCCTTTTGGTAAGAGGTGGGATATACTAAAGGGAGGCTCATCGGAGGCCTATACAGAGCCAAAGGAAACATGTCAAATACATGTCAAATGTGGGCTGTTCCTTAATCAAAATTAACTTCTTTCTTGGACTGTGTTAGGAAGCCAAAGTAAGGTTTTATATTTTAGTCCAATATCTAATCATGTATACTATTTATCTGCTGTTTATTTCACAGAACAGAGCCAAAGTTTGTACGCTTTGTTGGATACTTTTGTAAGTAGATGACTGTTTTGATCTTCTAAAAACAAATTGGGTCACTATGGTGGAAATTCCTAGAGGTTTCGTGTGTGGGATGAGTAGACATCTACAAAACTGTCAGCTACTCACAAACAGATTTTTGTCCTGTTTGAGCGACTGTGGTTTAACACTGGTGAAATTCAGATTGGTGAGCATGGCACGTTTAGACAGAAACTGCTTGCTCTGACATAATGAAAACAATGGGGCTTATTATTATTATTTTTTGCTTTCTAAAGATAGATGCAAAACAGGCACTTCTCCCGTACAGTTAATATGGACGAGTAAAGGCTGTTAAGGGACCAGAGGACTCTAGTGGAAGTCTTTTTAATCATTCTCTGTCTTGATTGGGCTTTCCATGGCTGAAGAAAGAGCAAAAGAGGCAGACAGACGCAGAGAGAGCGGGACAGTGAGAGAGATGGGGGAGTGAGATTCAGAGGCCCAGTTAAGTCTGTGGCTTTGTGTTTTATGAAAGAGTAAAAAAAAAAAAGAAAAGAGGACATTAAAAGTCAGCATTTTCCACCAGGCAAGGGAATCGGTCCATACACGCACACATACACGTATATGTGCGCACACACTTGAACTCAAACACCGAGGCCCCCAGCCTCCTATTATAGGGCTGAGTGGAGGGGAGGAATGGCTGCATTGGTGCATGTTTGTCGGCGTTAGCGCTACTTGTGTCAGGGGAGGCTTCCGGAGTTCTATGTCGACGCTTTTCTTCACTTTTGGTTTCAGTAGGCGTGTGCCAGAGTTTCCAAAAGTCAAACGCAAAGGACACGCTCATATAACCAAAACATAGGAATGTGTACTGACCGTCATGTGACTTGCATTATAAGGTATCGGTTCATGTCTCTCCCTCTCCTTTTTTTGTTGCTTTTTTTTTCTTTTCCCAACTGCAGACTTTCCATGGTAATTTTTATGTGTGGAGCAGATCTCATAAATCTAGAGCCACCGAAACCAGATATAAACCCACTCTGAATAGCTCCGAAAACATGAGCCTGACAGACAGAAATATTAGCCATACAAATGTCATTTTCACAGCTACAATCTGCATTTTTCTTTTCTTTTTGACTACAGTAAATGCTGGTCTTTTAGCCCAGATAAGTTCACGAAAATGGTCACTGAAGACTGTAGATGCTCCTTCTGCTGATTGACATGCTGTGCCTGTATGCAGGGCTCAATCCGAGCGAACGTGAAGTAACTGTAAAACATCAATATTATTCATACCAAAGTGGCATGACTGATGTATTCAGCATGCGTAAAGTTAAGTGTGTGTGTGTGTGTGGTGTTGGAGCTCTCACACGTTGCTCCTCACTCTGTATTGTAGCTCTTCAAGGCAGCCGCCCTCCCGAGGTTACACGCCAGTACAATTTGGCCCCTACATTTACGCGGGTGTGCTGGCATCTACAGAAATGAAAGGCTTACAATTTACAATGCAAACACTCACACACAAACAGAGATGTATATACATCATTTCCAAAACGACTGGCTTGTCATTGCCATGGCCCTCATGTCTCCAATCCACATTGTTCAAAGTCCCAACTGTCTCTCTTTTTGATAGTAGTTTATTAGTTGCTTGGCAAACCACAGTCATGGGTGCATGTGTGCATTTACTCTCATGTTTTTGTTTTTCTCTCTTCCCTCCATTTTACTCCAATGACGCTCCCTGTCTCCTCCCTCTTCCCTCGCTCCTCCTTCTCCTTCTTCCTTTCTTTTCACTGAGATGAGAGGGCAGCTGCAAACAGTGGAAGATCCAGCTGTGTGTGTGTGTGTGTGTTTGTGTGTGTGTGTGTACATGTCTGGGAGATTATTTGCTGCTGAAAGAATGCTCCTACAGGTCAGAATCAACTCGGTTGCCAAAGTGGTGCTCTGCTATTGATATTAAGTTGTTGGTCTTTACTTTGTCCCGCCTGGTTCACTTTCCTTTTTAACTACCATGGGCTATAAGATGAAGATTTAAACCCTAGACTACCATTATCATAAAAAGTTCTTAATGGTAATCTTGGACTATACTGAGGTTGGAAGATTTAAGAACCAGACCTTTCTAACCTTGTTGCCAGTCTTAAAAATAAGTTTGTGCCTCTTAAATCTGCCCAGTGTGACCTCTCACTTGTACACTATGTTCACATCCCCTATGTACAATTATGGCTTTTACATAGCAAATCTCACCTCCACATGTGTGATTTAGTTAATTCTCCTCAAAAGAGTCAGGCGTAAAGTAAAACAGGCTTTATTTCCTGTCTGTCTTTCACTTTTCATTGTATCTTAGAAATCCTGGGACTGGAACTTTCATTTCTATTTGCAATCTTGTTTGAAAAGTAACCCCCCTAATTGACTGATGTTTCCCCATGTCCTTCTCTCACTATTTCCCACTCGTTTCCCCCCTTCCCCCACCTCAGACAGGGAGGATCTATCCTATGGCACATCCCACAGCCACATGCTTGCACACAAAAACGTCGGCCAGCTTCCTGTTGGCGGGCAGAAGCTGTTTTTACTGTGACTCCATTCTGGCAGACGAGGCTAATTCCTCTGCTGTCTGGCTGCGTGTATGAGTGTGTGTGTGTGTGTGTGTGTGCTTCTGCCCCCTCTACTTCTAAACTGCTCATATGAGACTCCTCCTAAAGTCAAAATTACATGCAAGCTCTATGGGTAGTTTTAACATACATTATCCTCACAGGAAGCTCAGACTGATGTCTGACGCTTTACAAAGTCAGCAGATTTCATTTGTTTGCTGAGTGACATTGAGATTTTGACAATGTATTAAAAACTTATCTTGGATTAATTAACATAATCGTATTTTCTGTGAATGCCTGCTAGAATCGCTTTTGGCTTGTCGTGTTTTACTTTCATTTATTATTTTGTTAGAATAACTTTTCTACAGTTTTTGGGATGTAATTTTTTTTTTAAATGGAGAGAAAACAACATGCTAAATTCCCTTCTAGATTATGCCGGCCGCTGCTGGTCTTTGTCTGAGGAGTTTTTCATAAAACGGTTCCTGTGTTTTCTTGGTGGTGTGCCTCTGGCCATCGTTTTGCTGACATGTAAACTATTACCCTGATGTGGATCTGATTCAGAAAACGTCCCCTCGGAATAATGCTGCCATCACGGTGTTTGGCTGCGGGAATGGAATCAAAAAGTACATTCTCTCTGCATTTTATTTACCCACTTTTTTTGCAGCCAGTGAGATCAAATATCTATTTCGGTGCCATTTAGTAACCAATGACTGATTGGTGGACTTACAGCTGACCTGTTACCTACCTGACTGAGGCCCTTTGTCCCCTATCACTGGGTCACACCTTTAGCAGAGGCTCTCAGACACACCTGTTATGACTGTCAACAGTGTTTTCTGTTGGCATAAACTGTTGACCGGTTAGTTTGTGGTATAGTGATACAGATTTGAAGGTCACACCACTTAAAAAAAACAAAGGGATAAGCTGGTGTTTGAACCCGTCGTGTGTTCCTATTCCACACGCCGCACCTAAACATGTTCACAAAGACCCCACACAAGAATGTCTGTTATAAGAGTTTCTGCTTTAACTGCGTTTTTGTACCGTGGTCCAGAGGACTAAATCAGCTGGGCACAAGCCTTTCAACAAGCCGTTGTGCTCTGAATTAAAGCCTCCAAGTTCTGCAGCGTAAACACTCCCCTCCCACATGATGTAAATGTGTACACACACACACACACATTCAACGCTTTGGCCAATGTACAGACAGACACAGTGTGCACATTTTCTGTAATTTGAGGCAAGACTTGGAGGCGACAAATATTTTTTCTCTTTGTTAACTCTGCGTTTTTTTTTTCTTCCAGTTGTTTGGAAATGCCGTGTTTCATAATCGGCTCCAGATGGACCAGTAGCTTTGGATGTATATACACTCTACTGGAATTGCCTTTATGTTATTTTCTTTACCTCCCACATAGTTTAAAGTTGAATCCAAACTATTATTTCAACTATTTCTTTAGAATTTTCAGCATACGCTCGTGTCTGTTGAGTTTTGAGCCTCCTGTAAAGACATATTTTATCCCACGTGCTTAATATTAATGATTGCAAAACAATGAGTTCACTTGCGTTGGCGACTAAGGTATCACAAATATGCCTTTCTCAACAGATTCCTTCTATATTAGAGACGTGGATCCCATCTTGACTATCAGTCTGCAACCCCGCCTGTCTGACGACCAGCATACCATTCAAATAGACTGTCAGCAAGCAGGAGAACCAGCCAGCCACCAAAACAGCCTGCAACTGCTTTCAAGACCGTAAGCCAAACAGAAGCGGAGCCATGTTGATCATCCTAGCTTTTATCATACTCTTCCACCTGGTTGCGGCCATCCTCCTCTATGTGGCCACCATTCACAATGTAAGTCCACCAATCAAAACAACATACGGTACTGTTAAAACGAGGCAAGTGAGGATGTATATGTGACCCGCCTATTCGTCCCATCCTTGCAAAGGCATGGTGGGTGGTGTCGTCTGCCGGTCGGGAAATCATCTACTCTGACCTGTGGTACTCCTGTAATTCCACCTGCTACCCCGTAGAAAACAGCCACAAAGTTGAAGCTGGTGAGACGCAAGCACAGCTCGGGGTTTCCATCACGTGTTTTTATTGGGTTTGTATGTAAAATAAGTTAATTAAAAAAAAAATCAATTTTCTCTCTCTCTCTCTTTAGCTTATCTGCAGGCAGTCCAGGCCACTATGATCCTGGCCACCATTTTATGCAGTGTCAGCTTCTTTGTCTTCATTCTTCAGCTGTTCAGGATCAAACAGGGAGAGAGGTTCATTTTCACAGCTATCATCCAGTTGTTGGCCTGTAAGTACAAAAGCACGCATTGATTTACCCATTCTGCCATTTGTCAATTAGAAACCTATGTTGTTGCATTCTCTAGTATCGAGTATTTGAACCTACAGGAGACTGCAGATGACTATTTGAAACTATTTGAAATGAATATGCTTCACTATATGTGTTTTCTCCCCTCTTCTAATCTATCCTTCCTCCAGCTCTATGTGTGATGGTTGCGGCCTCCATCTACACAGCTGAGAAAAGGAGCTTTCATGTGACCAGCCTCCACCAAGGCTCCTATGGCTCCTCTTACATCCTAGCATGGGTCAGCTTCCCCATGACTCTCATCAGCGGCCTCATGTACCTGGTGCTCCGGAAACGCAAATAAGCCAAAAATACAGCATCTTCAAATATATGGATAGGAACATGGACACAAATGCATACAAAATGCATATACAGATTCTCTCTTTAATCCTGAGATTTTCTTTATCATTGAAATTATGGGAAACCACTGCGCATACGGCAGCATTTCATTTCATTTCACAGGTCCAGCAATGGACAATCCCCACTAACGTATTCGACAAACAGGTTTGTGTCAGTCTAACATGTGCAGATCCAAGTTTGTGATGATCCCTCCTCCTTCCTGAGGGCGCATTGTTCTCACTGAAAACATGGCATTTATTCACGAGGACCAAACCCACCCTGTGCCTTTGTTTTTCTGCTTTCATGTTTTTGGAAACATTTGAGGTGAAAAATGCACCAACAAAGAGCCTTGACTGGAAAGTGTCTAGTTACCTTTGCCAGCTCAGTCTACTGTGGTGGATAACTTCATTCATATGTAGCAAATGCACTCCACATGGTGGTGTATTTATCTCTCAGTCACGGCTTAGCGTTGAATCCTGGACTCCTTGCAGTGTTTAGTGAGAACATTATGTACCTTCGTCATTTTTGTTTCATAAGCTCCTTTTTTTTGTAACAAACCTCATCTTCTTCTCTCATTGTTGTCGACCAGTTCCATTTAGCTCCATGGGTTTGGTCTGCCTCAGACATAGCACCTGGATTTGCCAAAGGGTCCATTCTTATTGATGAGACTTCTCATTATTTGTTTTGTACATATTTGCTGTGTATGTATGGGTTTTAGACTCCCATATTTGAACTATATAGATAAAAAAAAACTGTGTTAATCTTAACATACAGGAATTGTAATGAAGCAATAGTTAGAATAGTGTAGACTTTTGCCCTTTTTGTATTATTTTATGACTGACTCGTGTTTTAATGGTTAAAGAAAAACCAATGACGTGCTGCGAAATTTGGGATTTCAAATGAAAACATAAACAGTGCAAACTTGAAATAAGCATGACCATGTCTCTGTTGCTATTGCTATAGCAAACGCTATTTATTGTTTCAAAACCACTCTTTTAGTTGCATTTTGTCATCACCTGACTCGAGACAAATGAAATAATAATGTCTCGCCATATTTCCCTGCTCTGGCCAGGCTACCAATGGTTTCTCGCAGGAACATTTCTACTCACACTGATGATAAGGATAAATTTGGTACTGTTTCCCTGAATTAAATCCCGTAATGGCCTTTTTGGCAGTATTAAAATGCTGATTAAAATTATTTTTCTGCTTACTCAAGTTGATACTTGAAATCAAATACTGACAGACGTTGATCTTTATTGTAGAGTTTGGTTAAGCTGTCATCTTAAGGATTTGTCTTAATGTTTTAATGTTTCAGAAAATCTCAAATCTAACACTGAGGTCAAAAGTAGCTGGTAAATTATCTTGTCGATTAAAATGCTTTCCAGTCAGACTTAAATAATCACAATTATTAGGCTGGACCAAACTCCCACAGCATCTTGTCAATTAAACAACACAGAGTTACTGTGAAATATGGGAACACACCTACAAAATACTCAGAAGTTGTTGAATCCAAAACTGTATTTAATTTTTTTTTGTTTGATATTTTGTTTGAGGGGGGGTAAAGTATTATGTTGCATTGTTTGAAGATTGCATTTAGCTTTGAAAGACCAGACATGACGAGAACTTGAAATAAAAAACTATTTGCTTTACTGCATGGCATTTCCCACATTTGTTGTGTCATTTGACCAGTTCATAAGCATCTGGTTTCTTTACCCATGCTGTTGTTTCTGTGCCTGTGTTGCCACATCAGGGTCTGCTCTTCTCATCTGTAAGAAATCATCCGAAAGATTCATGTACCACATATTAAAGTGAAACCTTTGTCTGCTATCGACACCTGGTGGACTCATAAAAAACTACACATACAAGTTTCAGGCTCCTGACTTTTGCCCTGGGCTACATGGTGGTGTGTTGGTAAGTACCTTCAGCTTGCAGGACCATTGAAATGAATTTGTTGAAGAGATTACGTTCTGTTTTTGCAGGGACAAGACAGCAATTCATTTGTGAACCTTCAGGATTGCTTGTAGCAATTCATTTTAAATTAGGCATCTTTGGAGACTTTTCTAGAGGCCCAGCTATTTTCACTTCTGCTGCATGACCCCTCCCTGCTGGTATATTCCCTCAAGGTGTTAACTGTCTCCATTGTAATGTGAACAGCCACTCCACCCCCCCACGGACGCTGCTGCCTGTAATGGAAAAAGCCAAACTGCTGTTTGAAATCAGCTCACTTTCATATATGAATTATGATAGTTTGTGTCAAGTTTTTTTTAAAGTGTTTATCATTTTCTTAAGGTATACACATTTTTGGAGAAAACAATGTTACGTGTAATAAGAAGGATCAGACTAGGCCACACACATTTGAATTTTTGCTTATTTAAAATGGGATAACAGGTTTGCAAAAAGAAAGGGTTGAGCACATAATGCCTTGCATACTTTATTAAGGAGAGATTGGAACTGTATATGAATCTGAAAAAAAGGAATTTAATTTCTATAAGTAACTGTGAAGAAGGATGCTGCATATTTTCACCGAAGTATCTGAGGAGAACAAGGACAATACAAAGCATTTGAGTTCTTTTAATCGTATGTGACACCACACATACAGATGCTGTTCCACACTTCGCCAAGTGGTGGCGGTAAAGCACCCAAATGGGGTATACCAACAGCCAGGAAAACCACAGAAAGACTAACAAACTCATGTGACCACACGACGGAACAGGAACAGTAGTGGAATTAGAAGTACTGGGTTTAATTATTTAATTGCTTTTTTCCCAGGTGAGTGGTTTGCTTTGATGAGATTGGAGCACGAAAGCTCAACAGTTGGTCCGCCAGAGTAATGTATTTTTTAATATGTGATGTAGGGTCTTTTTTGGCGAGCAATTATATCACTTGGCTAACTTTGAAACTATTAACTTCCGTAATTAAATGTACACTATTGCTTAAAATCCTTATAGTCGTAATTTAAATGTACTGCGTTGTCACTCCCAGTGATAGTTAGTCTGAAATGTGCAGAAATCCAAGGTGTGCGGTAAAAGCTGCCTTCCTTAAATGTGTGTATTTTTTTGCTTTGTCCTGTTAGATGGTGCCAGTCTCAAATGTTTCCTAGTGCATTATCAGAATAGCGTGTACCTGGATGGTCCACTGCAAGTGTTTTTTTTTTTGTTTATATTAAGAAATGCCAGTGAAGCGAAGTAAAGCCCAGGGTCACAATGACTCCACAAGAAATGGTGGGGTCAAACGAAAACAGCCTGCTGGAACTAGGAGAGACACGAGAGACCACAGAGTTAACATTGGAGCTGCATTTGATAAGTGGCGAGCAGTGAAAACGGCACATGAATTGAGATCCGATGCAGACGTGGCCCTGTATCTTCTCAATCCGTGAGTTAACATCAGACAATGTTGCCACCACTGAACATGCATTCATACACCGATCAGCCATGACATGGCCCACCTCCCTTATCTGGGGTGTGCTCTCCTTATCCTGCCCACAACCCATTAAGGTAGCCCAGAGTGAGCAGTTTCTGCAAAGGCTCAGTCTCGTCCCTCTGCAGAAAGTTTTAGGATGGTGTCAGGGAAATTCACGGGATGTTGCATTGGGTCACAACAAAAAGTGTTGCTCGCCTTACTTATCAGTGGTCATGATGTTAAGGCTGATCGGTATACATAGAGTTGCAGCAGATGATTTTGTAGCAGCTGAATTTGTGTAGGCAGGGAGGCCTGTGAAGCCCCTCCTGAGCTGTAGACTGATGGAGTTGTGACTGAAATGATGATTCACAGTTGAACTGAATATTCTTGTTGGTTTCCACCAGTGCACAATGTTTGGGTGAATTTTCTTGGTGGTTTTGTTGCTTTTGCAAGCATTTTGTTTGAGTTTCTGGGCTAATGTCTTGGGTCACCTCTTGCTTCTTGTTGTAGACAGACAGAAAAAGGGGAAACAGGTCTGGGGTTTGGTTTCCAAGCAAAAATGGGGAACAAAGAGCATTTCAAATAATTGCAGAGTTTCTGAAATCTGAAACTTCCAAGATAATCTAACTTGTCGTGTGTTCAGGAATACTTTCCCAGGCTTCTTGAAGGACATTCCAGAGCCACTGCCTTTTGTCCATTTCTCTGTCAGGACAGTCCCACTCTGCTGGTGTAAAGTTTATGTCTGGGCAGGACTCGTCCTTCCACCAGGCCTAATGCCACTGATCTTCAGTCCACATCTCTTGTCATTTGGCACACCTCAGTCTTTAATCCGTCCTTAAAAATGGCGTCTCCACAGCCGCACGCTTCAACCTTTCTGATGTAACATCTTGACCATGTCCTCCCTTGGTCCCCGTGTCAGGATTTCTGCTTGATTTACTTTCTTCCAACTTGGTCTTTTGTTACTCTTCTGTAGATTGCCTGGCAGTACTCTTTATGGCATCTCAGTTGACTTTGATCTTTTAAGGAGCCTCTAATGCTACCTTATTTGAACTGTCCTGTTAGTGCTTAAATGTTTGCAAAATGCGAGACCTTTGACATTTTTCATAGACGTAGCAACATAAATTGGAGCAAACGATGCGTCTTCATGACCAGCTGCCAAAAAAAGGTATTTAATAAAATAATCTTAAGACATAACACTGATTTAATTTTATGGGTATGTCATTTTCTGCTTGAATCATTCACAGGAACGCATTTTATGCCGCTACCCCTTTTTTAAACTTAATTGAATGCGTAAAGATAAAGGACAGCCCGCATCTCAAGACAAGACCGTGAGAATGTATGGAAAACTTCTAAAGACTCCTTTAAAAAATATTAGACTGCCAAAACCTCAAGAAAAGAGGGGTGGATCAAGGCCTTTTCATGCTTCTGTGCATGTTTTCTGTTCTAAGCCTTGAAAAGTGAAGCTTCCTTCTGTTTTGTGGTCATGGCTTTCTCTGTGCTGCGGGTGGCTCCTCTGCAGAGGCTTCAGCTGTGCTCAGACGGCTGGCTGTTGCCTCCTGCTCCTCTCCAAATGTCAAAATGCCTAATTTTGAAATCATGATTCAAGTACAGTGTCTGCCTCTCTAACAAAAAGTTGTGTCACCTAACCTTTTAATTTTTTTTAATACTTTTATTTTCATGTTTGCATGCAGAAGGAGGTGTGGCCCAACATCCTCTCCAGCTGGAACCTGTGACCCGCAGACAAAGGCACAAGTAAAATAAAACTTTTTCTTTGCATTATAATTGTGTAGGTAAGCAGAATGTTGAGTTGAAAAGAGATCTGGGACATCCAGTTTTTTGCTGAAAAGTAATGAGGCTAGTTTTTTGTGATATGTTGAATAGTTTCAGGCCGATTCGGAGCTCTAAACAGAAAGACGCTTTACCTCAAGGTCTAATCTGAAATGAGCAAAGAAAAAAGCTATCTTTTTAGAACTACCCTCAAAGCCATTTTCTTAAATGTCTGTAGACAACATTTTTGCCTGCATGGCCTCAAAAACACCAGCACCTGCTACATCAACGGGTCTCTGGGCACCACTAGAGGACACCCTGACCTCGGCCTCTGTCTCGTGTCAGTTTGCTCCCCAAAGCCGCTTAGTTGTTTTTCTCTGTAAAAAAAATGAGACCGTCTCTCACTTGGTGGTTGTCTCTTCTGCAGATGGAAAAGCTGATTGAGCAGGAGGTTCACGGGGCAGTGGCTAAGAATGAAACCAAGCTCCAGGGCCTGATTGAAACCGTCCAGCAGCTGAGCAATGACGCCAGCATTGACCACTCTATCCAAAAACTGGAGGTGGGGAGCCGTTTTCCTCGCAACTTTTTAAAAAAATACATTTTTTCTGTTAAATTAAACTTTCCTTTCTTCCTCAGGCTCGAATTAACTCTGTGTCCAGGAGGACAGAGCTGGCTCTCTCCTACATTAGGAAGACGCATGAAAAGGTTTGCAAGCACAAATGCACACATATTTGCACCCTAATGGTTCAGTTTTGGTTGCGTTTCGAGACTTTGGGCTACTTCAGAAGTCGGTGTCTGAAGCTCAGGTATAGAAACGTTTATCTCCCAGTGGCCCAAAGACGCATGGGAAGCATCAGTTGTGGTTTAAAAAGCACGGCTTACCGATGACTGAGGCGGGGTTTAACCAAAGAGTTTATTTAGTTATTAACCTCAAAACCAAATGCCTGAGAGGGGGCTTGGCCAATTTACTGGGCTAATTTGGGAAGACTGCTTGTAGTTCCGACCAGGTGACACCGCCCACAGTCTGTAGAAGAAAACAGACAAAGCCTCAAAGAATAAGACTCACCAGAGTCCACGGCTCAGAGCAGCTTGAAAACAAACTCGATCGATAGGACGCGCGGCAGGGCTCCATCAGCCTCTGTTTGGTTCCAACCGATCTGGAGAATATCCTCCAGCAAGCCTTCTCTCTTCACAGGCAGTAGGAGCACAAAGTAGGCAGCCCTCTAATGCGAGTGCTGCTCCAGTTTCTTTCCTTTTCCCCCTTTATTTTACACCACATTTACTGTGCAGCAGACTGGGGGAAACCCAAAGGGGAAACCTGGACACCACTCAGACTTGATATTTAGTTAAATTACACACGGAGAAACAAACAAAATCCATTCCAGGCATCACCTCAAGTAGAGAAACCCAAACCCTGTGTTCAACATATTTTTTTCATGTAATATTTTCTATAATTTTTTGTATCCTCTCAGTATGTTGTAAGTATTAGAGTACACTTTGATCTTCACTGTCATTTCAGAGTCCACTACCCTCCCTCGTTAACGTGGACATCATCAGGTACGTCGAACTGAGGCTGAACTAAGACCCTCGCTGCTGTTTCACCCTGATTTGATCCATTTTACTCTGCCATTTTATGAGTTTTGACATGATTCAACTTGTTGTGAACTCTGCAGGAACGCCCCAGAAGATGGTGCCATGGAGCCCGTGTCGCAGCGTGAGAGCCAAGCGCACACACACACACACACACACACACACACACACACACACACACACACACACACACACATACAAACACAAGCTAGGAATGTTTCTATCTGCGGATTTTGTGTTTATTCTGTTAAAATTTTCCATCTCAGGGAATAAGAAGCGGAAGGCATGCGCAGTCACGAATAGAGATGTCCTCAGAATTATGGTAAATCTTTGTCTGTGTTGAATTCTTTCCTTGTGTACACAACAGATTTTTGAGTTCAGGGCGAATATGTTTCATCTGTGCCAACGGGACTCATTGTGGTTCGATTTGTGACTGCTCTGTTGTTCGTATCAAAAAGATCAACGCAGCTTTTCTTTCTGTTCAGGATCGTACCAAAAGATGCCTGGAGAAGCTCTGCAGAGACAGAGCAGGTGGGTTTAAATGTAAATATGCTGCACGGTTCAGTCTTTTGACTTGGATCTAAACATGCATTCAACACTTTCCCCTCACTCCAAACCTTTTTAATCCGCCTTTCTTCTGTTCTTGGACTTAAAAGCTTTCATGGCTGACGTCGCAGATTCCGGTCCAGAGAAGTCTCCACCTACCCTAAGCCCGAAGTATTCCAGTGAAGGGACCGTAGGTTGCCTTTATATTTGAATTTGAGGATGCAAATTATTTGAAAAATTCATTAAATTTTCAACTCGCCCTTCTCCAGCCATCTTCCGTGTCAGATTTAAATCGGGATGAGCCTCCACCTGTTCTCTCTCCTAATGTCTCCTGGATGGTAGGACACCCTTTTTATTTACTTATTCTGTCTTATTCTGCCTCCAGAAATCAATACGTATATATTATCCTAATGATTTTAAATAACTGTGTATGAATATACACTGAATTAGCTTTTGGGTACTAATTTATTCCATTGAATAATTTTGACGATATTCCCATTGATGACTTGACTTTCATACTAAACTGCTGCACTGCTGTTCTTCCAAGTCTGCATTCATCCCCAAAACAAATGGCTGAAAACAGACACTTTTTTTAGTATAAATCTCCCATTAGTCCTCTCAATTTACACTATAATGCCTGATGCACGGGGTGCTTTTTCTGGAAGTTAATTTTCACATTTCAGAATTAACGTTAAAGGGGAAAACTGAGATCCAAGAGTAGAAATGTTACAATGACATGCAAAGGAAAAAAAAATTAAGTGCTCAAAGAGGACCGCACTGCGTATTCTAACCAACATGTGGCAGAATTTTTTTTTTTAGCTTTTGTTGTTGCATTATTTACTTTAGTGCGATAGGATAGCAAAGGGAGGAGAATGTTATGTGAGGACAACAATGTCATAAAAATATCTGTATTCAAACCTTTGAAGCAAGCAAAAACCTATTTTTCATTCCGATTTTGATCTGTGCTGTCATTAACTTTTTCTTCCCCTGCGTGTGTGATTCAGGGACATGTAGGGGCTGTTAAGAAAGAAGAGTGCAAGGAAGAAAAAAATAACATTGAGAGGTTAAAGCAATTTGATCCAAAGGAGAACAACTTTAAGGAAGAAGCCGCCCCCACAGACCACTGTAGCAATTTTGGGCTTAAACAAATCGACCAACAACAGGTATCGGATCCCTCAAAGTCCTAATTCATTCCACAGCTTCCAGCGCTAATCGCCGCGACTCCCTCCTCTTCCTCTCAACAGAAACGGCTCTGCTACCCTCCTCTCCCCGCCAACCCTTTCCCCTCTATCCTGAACATTGAAGCCGCATCATACAGCATCCCTCAGAATTTAGAAGTAAATCTGGCCCTCATCAGGAACCCCACTCGTCTCTCTGTGCTGTGGAATGTGACTGAGGAAGACCCCTCAGCACCGCCCATGGAAAGTTACTCGTAAGAAGCAGCCTCAGTCTTATAAGAATGTGTTGTTTAAAGTAGCATCCCTTGTTTAGCCAGACTTTAAGACATATGGTGTGTTCTTTTGTTTAAAAAATCCTCATCATACTATGTATGTTTCTTTTAAAATCACATGGAATTCTTTCAAATCTTCAGGAACCTTACAGAAAACTATGACCGTTAAATCGGCTGTAAAAGAAAGATGTAGTTTATTCTCACTAACCATTAACGGACAGTCAAATCCAACACCGTCAAAGGTTTGTATTTTAGGATTGAATTATTTTTACAACGTTTTCTGAGTAATATTGCTCCACTGCAGATCTCAATCTTCCAACCACCCAGCAGAGGCTGAGTTCAGCCGCTAGGGAACCAGGCAAAGGCCGAGTTCAATTGCTTGGTGACTTTAACCACAACTATGGCCAGCTTTGTGGTTGCTATTCTTTCTTCTTTTTAAAAAAAATGTTTTTCTTTCTTTTCTTTTTTCTCCTCCCCGCTGCAGTATCTTCCTGACTATGGAGAAGGAGAAAGGGAGCAACGTCTTTCCAGACTGGCATACCTATGATAAGGTGGAGGCTAAGGCCCTGCCCATGTGCGCACTGATTAAAAAGTACAAACCCGGGCACAAGGTGTGTGCCGCTGTGGTGGGCAAAGATGTATTTGGACGGTATGGACCCTACAGTGAAGTTGTTACAGCGACCATACCTGACTAATTGGGAAAAGGCTTCTGGTCGTGGCTGGCAGTTCTGAAAGACAGTTTTATGTTAACTAATCCACATTTTACATGTTTGTACATTTAGATTTTTGCTCTGAATAGATTTCTTGTTTTTTTTTGCATGAAATTGATTAAAGTGGAGTAGCACACTTTTGTCTTTTATCAGTTACCTCCGTTTCACTGCGGGCAGCATTGTGAATCTCCCAGGTAAAGGTTGTTTGGTGGCATGAGGTTAGGGTCTGTCATAGGACCAACACATAGCTGCAGAAGTTTGAGTTTTGATCCTTTGTTTTCACTCATAATTTGATAATTGTCACTAGATAGATGTCACTTTGAAAAAAGAAGTGATTATTTGAAAGCGCACACAAGCGTGTGTTCTTACATGTAGGAGGCTTCCCTTGTTTAAATGCACTGTATATCATTTTGCGTCCTTCAATAAAATTACACAGGTAAAAACACACACAAAAAGGTGTCTGACAGCTCTGAAATGACCATTTATAGATTTATCAACTACATAAGAATGCACTCTACAGATCCTTTTCAGTTTAGAACCTGGTTTGAAAAATACTCAAAAGTACTCAAACACTGAAATAAAGACAGTGTTTAAAATTTAAGTGTGACAGTTTTCAGTGTTTACCTCTGTGAACTCTGGGCATAAAGTTGACCCTTCAATAAACATTCACAGGCACGGCTGCTAAGCATCAGGACTTTCCCTTTTGTTTGAGGGAGGTTCTCAGAGCGGGTTCTACTCTGAAGACACTGCCAGTGGTGCTGACTTTCAAGTATGTGAAGAAGAGGCTTTTTGAGTGAGTCTAAATGTGTGAATATACCAGGCGATGGTCCTTTTTTTTCTTTCTCACTTTTCTTCTTCCAGTAATAGTCAGCGTATCAATTAATTTGCTGTTCTCCTTAGCATCTTCTCAGCATTGAACTGTTAGATCCCAGCTAAGCTTGCCCCGAACTCTTATAATGCTAATGATAATATTAAAAAGAAGTATTACTACTGTACTGATGGTAATGATGATAATCGTACACGAACTTGAGGCCTGTGCTGATGATTTTCTGGACATTTACGGCGAAGTTTTTCATGCAAACCTTGTGGTTTTTTGATGATATACACCATCAGCAGGCCCACTGTGAGTATTTTTTCTGTAAAGATATGTCAATATAAAATAAAACTCAGCAATACAAAGCTAATGAAATTTTAAAAGCAATAAGATGAATAACTTTGAAACATATCTCTGATGGTTTTTTTTTAGTAAACATCCCCTAAGAGTAGGGAGAGTAGGGATCCTCGTATTTAGGATGGGGATTCCTCTGATAATTCTGTTAATTCTTTATGTCTAAAATGCGGTTGACCATTTGCATAAATGTGTTAGGTCAAACCTTCTATTCTACCTATAGTGACACAGCCACAATCTCCATTCTCCAGTCACTTTTTGTGAAGTTTTCTTGCTCAGTATTTCTTCTCCCTTTACCCAAGATCTAGTAGTGGAAACACTGAGGTAGAATGGTGGTGCAAGTCTCCTCAGTCACCAGAGGTTCCTTACATTTCACCATGGGTTTTCAAATGGGTTTGAATAAATACTTTGTTTTAATTACTTTCTTGCAATCTGAGCTCTCTTAGTGTCCAAAATGATTGAATCTAACTATATTTTATAAAATATATCAGAAACTATACTTGAGCCGCAACATAAAGTTTACAGATCTGATATGCTACTGCAGATATCAAATCTGAGATGAACACAACGATGAGAATACTCAACAAATCAGGCATTCATCAGACGTTCTTCAGTTCTGCAACTCTGATCCTGACAGGACATTCTAAGAAGTCCTACTTTCCAAGCAGGGCCGTTTATGGGGTTGATATATACCCTCAGAACTATTTTTAGACTCATGTTCCTGCGAGGACAAGAATCTATCAAATACCTTGGTCATTGTGAAAGGTTCCTGTGGTGGGGATGTACTGAAAGATTAACACAGCACTTTATCCGTCATAACTTTTGCCCTTGTTGCATCATTTGAAATAGTTAAATTGAATAGTTTACACTAGATTTACCGCTACAATATGTACTGTGCAGATTTAAGCCCAAGTGTGCTATATATGAAGTAATGTATTGTGAAAAATATAAGTATTATTTATATATCTAAAATCTCACTGGAGCAGATTTGTAGGAAGATACTTTTTTTTTTTTTTGAAAGCACTGACTTCCTTCTTCCTATTGAGATCTCTATATCATGCAGACACCACATAAACTTGCACAGTCTCCACCCACAATGTGCTTTCTTTTTCGGACGGAAAAAGTTTAAGTCGCTACAGTTTCATTTTTGTGGGCCTACAGCTCTCTGCAGGAGACCAAACATGAAGGTAAAACCAAATATTTGCTTGTGCCTGTTCAAACCGTTGCATGGTTTATGTTGTTTTCTTTACACTGGGGTGATCATTCATAAGAATAGATAAAATAGAAATAGGGGCATATCACAGCTAACTATTTCCACAGAAGATCAGTAATAATTTTGAGCAAAAGTAAGTGAGCAAAAGAGCAAGATTATAACATTAAAAAACAGAAGGCTGGCGGAAGACGAATACTGTACTTTTATCTACAAACATTGGTATGTGGCCTGAAGCCAAACTTTAATGTGGCAGGAAGTTGAGCAATAACATGTTTTTACCGTTTAGGGCCTGATCCAAGAAGCAGAAAATTATTATTTTGTTTGTTTGTAGACTTTATTTAGCCTTTTAGGAAAATATGAATAACAAAAACAGAAATAACTTTTGAATATTTATCATTTATCACCATGCAAGAAGTCAAAATGATTGTAGTGTAGACTTCTGCCTGCTGTCATCAGGTATATCTGAATGTGCGCAACAGGGTTTTGAGCAAAGATTTTACCATTAATTCAAATATGACACATATGACATGATAGGGTTCAGAAATAGAATAGAATATGTTTTACAAACAACGGTTACTGAGCTGATGTTGAAGAAACTAGATAGGCAGTCAATGCTCTGCCCTCTAGAGGGGTCAACCAAACAGCACAAAATTTCCACCACAGAAGCGTGGGGCTGAAAATTCTCTTCTTCCTCAGCGACTGTTACCCCAGCATGAAGATGGTACATGTACGAAGCTGATATCAGGGGAGGAGTGTGTCTTCAGGCAAGTAGAAGTAACTTGCTCTACAGGAAATTCCTGTAGTCCTAACAGCAGCTGTGTAAGACATAAACATAGGACAGGAGTTGACATCCAAACGTGGGACTGTCGTAATTTACAGTGACAATATACTTGCTTGTTAGACACGATTAATAAAAATTGGTTCATTACCCGTTGTACCTGCAAAATGTTCACTCATAACCCTGCTAGCTTTTTGGTTGTCTTTTTCTTTCCATAGTCCATACCCGTCTGAGCCTGCATCGAACACAGCACAGTGCAAAGGTGAGTTAAAATCTAAAATGGTGGTTTTAAAGCTCTGATTGTTGCTGATACGAAGATGATAATTACTGGAGGCTTGCTATTATGCACAGTGCTGAGTAGTATGATCAGATTGCTGTGATGTGTTATAACGGCCTTGTCTTCTTTTTAAAGAAGCTGTTTGGGTGGACAACAACAGACATCGGCTCATTCAGAGTGACTGTTTGGTGATGCCGATCGCAGATTGTTTGCTCCAGAAGGGCATCATCCATAAGGAGAAGTACAACCAAATAAAGGCCGAAAAGACCAGCCAAGATCAGATGAGGGAGGTCTACAGTGCCCTCACATATGCCAAAGCCAAATATGAATTCTACAGAGTCCTCCAAGAATTGGAGCCTCAGATAATTGAAAGTATGTTCATGTCTGTTTTGGGAGTCATAAGTTTCCCCTTTTCTTCTAAGTTTTCTTTTGGTCTCGACATCTAAAACAATAACGCATGGACTCAGATAGTTACAATAAATGTCCTTTAGCATTTCTCAGAACCTTACAGAAGTTAATGTTTACAACTTTTGAATAATAAATAAATACTTGCTTCTTACAGCTTACGATATCACCAGAGAGGTCATCAAAAAGAACAAAGACTATCTAAAGAAAAGGTGCACGTGGGAGTTTGAAGGCACTGTCCAAGATCAAGAAGAGGTTAAGTCATTGGAGGAAATTTACACAACGCTTCACATCATACAAGGCGAGAGTGAAAATGTCAACCAACAGCATGAGATTTGGGAGCTTGACGAGAGGTCGAAGAATCTAACAGAAGAGGGCAAAACAATCGACTGCAATGATATTTTTGCAGAAGACACCACGTTGCCTGGACAAGGCCGAAGACCAAAGATCCGAACTGTGATGACAAAAGGAATTGCTGGAATTGGAAAAACCGTCTCTGTGAAGAAGTTCATCCTTGATTGGGCAAATGGGACAGCCAATCCCAGTTTGGACTTCATTTTCATGTTTCCGTTCAGGGAGCTAAATCTGGTCACAGACGATGAGTTTAGTCTCGAGACACTCGTCACAGAATTCCACCAAGAGCTTAAAGACAAAGGGGTCGCAAAATTCTTTGACACTCACAGAGTTTTATTCATTTTTGATGGCCTAGACGAAAGTCAACTTAAATTGAATTTCAAATCAACCAAAAGACTGACAGACCCTAGAAAAGTGACATCAGTAGACACTATAGTAACCAACCTCATCAGGGAGCATCTCCTTCCCTCTGCACTTGTCTGGATAACTTCAAGACCGGGAGCAATTCAGCGCATCCCACGAAAGCATGTCCACCAGTGGACAGAGGTCAGAGGGTTCAATGATCCACAGAAAACACAGTACTTCAGGAACAGAGTTAGGGATAAGGTGGTTGCTCAAAGAATTATTAGCCACATCAAAACGTCACGGAGCTTATACATCATGTGCCACATACCTATTTTCTGTTGGATCGCCTCCAAAGTTTTTGAGTATTTGCTTTCAAAGATGGGCAGCGCTGAAGGTGAAAGCAGAAAGACACCCACAACTCTCACTGAGATGTACACACACTTCCTCAGCATTCAGATGAGGGTCGCTGCTGAAAAATATGGCAACGAGGATGGGTTTGAGGATGATATTGAGGAGATTTTTAGGTCAAATGAGGAGTTCGTTTTGAAATTGGGCAGGCTGGCATTCGAAAAACTAGACAAAGGTGAAATCATTTTCAGCGGAAAGGACCTGGAAAAGTACGGCATTGACATAGATAAGGCTGGAGTCTACTGTGGGTTTTGTACTGCAATACTCAAAGAAGAGGATATGTTCAACAAAAAGAAGCTTTACTGCTTTGTACACTTGACAGTTCAGGAGTATTTTGCTGCTCTCTTTGTGTACTGCAGTTTTGCAAGAAAAAAAATTGATTCTCTTAGTCTCAGGGATTTCTTACTCACTGGGTCTGACCAGTACCTCAAGGCCATCTTGGAAGAGGATCCAGTTGATCTGCCTTTGAATGATCTTATGGAAATTACAATAGCCAATTCAGCTCTGAGAACCACAGGAGAACTGGACATGTTCCTGAGGTTCCTTATTGGCATGTCTCTCCAGTCAACACAAGAACTTCTTCAAGGTCTGATTCAGCAGACGGATGAGCACAAAGAAGTTGTGGAGGAAATCATAGCAAGTCTGAAAGACATAGATCTAGATGGGTGCTCTCCGGAAAGATGTCTGAACCTCGTGCACTGTTTGGTAGAGCTCAAAGACAGTTCCATGCACGAGTCTGTCCAGAAGTATGTAAGATCAGACCATGGCCCAGAGACTCAGCTCTCCCCTATTGAGTGCTCAGCGTTGGCCGTTTTCATTTTAACCTCAGATACACCGCTAGAGGAATTCGACCTGAGGAAATACCGGCCCCCTACCAAAGGTGTTTTTCGGCTCCTGCCAGCTGTCAGGAACTGCAGAAAAGTAAGGTGAGATGCTGGATGAATGGACGGCTTGATGGTTGAAAATGAAGACTTGAAATGAAACATTCATACATCCCTAAAATTTCATTATACATTCTAACATTGTGGATCTCTTTACAGCATGATCTGATTCTGACAGATTGTCTCTTTATTCCTGCAGAATCTCAGGTGTTTATTTCGATTCGTGGACTGCTGAAACATTAGCCTCAGCTTTAAAGATGCGGAACTCTGTGCTGTCTGAACTGCAACTTACAAATGGTGATTTTTCTGAGCAAAGCATAGACATCTTGGCTGATGCACTGAATAAGGCAGAATGTAAATTGGAGGCTCTCAGGTAAGTAAAACCTCTGTTGATGACTGGATGACATGTCAAGCTTTTTAATCAAATAATTTAAAAAACACCTTAAAAGGAATTATGGACATGTTAAAGATATCACTGAAACCATTAAGTCGTGGGCACCTAGCTGTGTACAGATCCAATATGACACTCATAGTCAACCACTGTACTTTCTTAACTTGTTATATAACAAGATCTGCACTGGTTGGAAACAGATCATCAAATCATCAATTGTAAACTGAAGCTATGTTCCCAGGATGTTAAGAATACCTAAGACGATAAATAAATGCAATTGTTTTGCTTTAATTTTTCTTTAAACATCCTTGACATATTTCTCCTTTTTGTCTTTGGTGATCGAAGTCTCTCAGGTAATGGACTTGGGTATCTGCTTGAAAAGGTGGTTCTCATCGATTCACCCATACCTAATTTGAAAGATCTGGAATTGAGTGAAGTAGGGGCAGGTTGGATCCAATATGTAATCGATGAGGGGCTCATCAACTCCAAGCTGGAGAGGCTCAGGTAGGTTAGATACTGGTCCAACAACTCTGAGGTAGGAATCTTGAGTAAAAGGGCTTTAGAGCTCCTGGATTCAAGAGACAGAAAGTGGACATTTGGCCCAACAAATGCTCATTCACATCTTTAAAAAAGACGAAATCTCGAACACTGCCTTTGAGTTCTTGGTCTTTGCAAATGGTTACTCTTATAAAACATGCGAATTGTCAGAATGTTCAACTACTTAACGCAAAATTGAGTAGCTTCCTGTAGTATAAGACTCTCTTGTACCGAGCCTGCTCATATTTCATGCAGCAAGGCACAGTCAACTCGCTGTTTGTGGATGGATTGGATTGCCTTGGTTTATACATCTAATCGAAGATCATTATATTCTCTTTGTATAAAAGACTGAACCGAAATCCTGGCATCAGGCAAACCTGTCAAGTTCTTGCGACAGCCCTTTCATCCAAGCTGTCCAATCTGCGGGAGCTGGATCTGAATCATACCAGTTTTGGAGATTCGGAAATGGAGTTCATCTCAACTGCACTGATGAGCAACCAATGCACACTGGAGGCATTAAGGTAAAATGAATCTGCCTTTATTCAAATCTGGTTTAAATTGAGTTTACATTTTGAATTCCACAGTATTTTGCAAGCCAGTTACACACCAATTTCATTGAGAGGGATGTCCTCTGAACAGAATTTATTTTTTGTGTGTCGGGTAGCAAATTCCACCTTGAGGTAAAATGAGAAGTTGTCCTCTGATCTGGTGAATCAAAGTTTTGAAACGGCCAAAGCGGACTGCGAAAATGCAGATTCAGACAGCACAGATCAGAGGACAGCTTTAATGATAGCATGTTATTGTTCCGTACTAATTTTTCATACTGGAGTCTGTCCCTATGTGACTATTTAGTCTCAGAAACAACAAACTAACCGGGAAAGGATGTGAGACTCTTGCCTCAGCACTCATCGTCAGAAAGAGGGCTCTAAGAGAGCTGGACCTTAGCTACAACGACCTGCATGACTCAGGACTCATTGCACTCTGTGATGCACTCAGGAGCCCACACTGCAGCCTGAGAAGACTAAGGTCAGAACATCACGCACGGCTAAATCACTAAGACAACGCAAAACTCAAAATGATATATATGATGTCTATAGATTATTTATTCAATCTTTGAATTATTTTATTGTTATGACAGTGGAATTAATCCAACTGCATGCACGATCACAATTTTAATTCTGTTTGTTGCAGTAAAAAACAAATAGTTTACTTTTCAGATGTTTCAAAAGACATCTGCACCAACTGTCTGATTAACGCCTGTCTTTCCTTTATGATAAGAACAAAAACTTGCTGGGTCAAACTGGTTTCAACCTCTTTTTAGGCCGAAATCTGCTGAACTTTAATTCTTGTGTGCTTGTATGTGTTTTTTGTAGTCCAATCACTAAGTACATTCTATAATGATATATATGAAGAGAAGTTCTAACAAATAAAACAAATCTAAAATTCTGTAATTAATGGTTGTGACATCACTTTGACTTATATATGATGGCTCTATTTAAGGTGTACTCTTCATCTCTATTTATATATCTATGTTTCCACGTGTGGAAAAAGTCTTAAGAGAGCACATTGTTGGATCAAAACATGCCATACCATGAAGATAAAACGGATGCTTAAAATGGCATTTATTACTTTTTTTAAATGCCCCTCATTTGATTTCTGTAGGCTGTTGTTCTGTAAAGTGACGGTAGATGGATGTACCCCACTGGGATCAGCTCTCCGGTCAGAGCACTGCAGCCTTCGGGAGCTGGACCTGAGCTTTAATCACCTCACAGATCTAGGAGTGAAGCTGCTGACTGAAGTACAGAGAGATTCCCGCTGCAGTCTAGAGCATCTTCTGTAAGTTTATCATGTTTTACACCTGATGTCATCATAATTAACCTTGTGGCTCAATGGTAAAAGGCACCAAATAGGTCAGGGACATTTCAAATGGACAATGTTTTTCATGTTTTTACCTGCTGTTTCTGTATTTGTAATCAGTGTGGAACAGAGTAAAGAATGCTGGGTCAACCTGAAGCTACTGAGACATCGTAAGAAAAATAATTATTTCATTCAATTTTAAATCCATTTGTTTCTAATTTTAATCGGTAACTGATAATCCACATTCTGGATAAATGTTGGAAATATTATATATGTTAAATAGAGGGATGTGCTTCTAGACCAGTTCTCCCTTTCCTGGTTTTAGATGCCTGTGATCTGACGCTGGACCCCAACACAGCAGGAGCGTTTCTCACTTTGACACAAGAGAACAAATTAGCAACATGCAATGAGAAGGAACAACAACATCCTGACCACCCGGACAGATTTGAAAAATTTCAAGTGATGTGTGAAGAAGGTCTGACAGGTTGCCATTACTGGGAGGTTGAGTATGTTTCAAAAGATGTTGGAGTGGGAGTGGCCTATAAAAGTATGCCCCGAAGTGGAGACTGCACTCAGGACTTCAGTTTGGGAGGAAATGAAAAATCTTGGTGCTGGAATACTAATAACCAGTTTTGCCATTACCGCTGCTGTCAAAGTTTTAAACAGTTGGAATTCAAACTGACAGGAGTCTTAGGGGTGTATCTCGACTGGCCAGCAGGGATTTTGTCCTTCTTTGAAGTCTATCCTGATTCGATCATCCACTTGTACACCGAACAGACAACTTTTAGCGAACCACTGCACCCTGCTTTCAGTTTTCTGTCTGGTGGATCAGTTCACCTGAAAACAAAAGATAAGAGTGAAGTGAAATAGAACACATAAGAGACTGAATGAAGCCTCACGAAAGGGAATGAAAAAACTGAAAATGAAGGAAAATAATTTAATTTAAAGGAAAGAATTTAGATTTGTAGGGGTTGCATTAAAAAGTGATTAAAAAAGAAATCCTGAAGATAATTCACTTTAATATTATTCTTTTTTTCAGGCCTTTGTAAATATTGTCCAGCCACTGTGCATGTTTTTCTTATATTTCATTAACTATATACATCAAACTGATCTAGACTACTATTATGCATATGCTTTAAAGTTCCTTATAAAAATTAGCTTTTCATATTATATTTTATTCTTTCACTACTGTATAGCTTTATCGCATTTATACTCTTTATTTTTTTTAGAAAAGTCAGTCAAGTTGTTTTGGAAAATTAGTTTTTAATTTATTCTTCTATACTTTTTATTAGTTGTTTTCTTATCCATTGACAGCACTGATTGAATAATCTTTTCATGTATTAATATGATATATAATATCGATATTCTGTTCTGTTTCTGTCTGCAATCCAAGTGAAGAAAACCATGACTTTTTTTCAGAATTAATAAGGTAACACTGGTTCCAGTTATGATGATAAGAAATGCAAAGTAAACCAGACGTTAGCCCAGGATGGCCTACTTTGGTTGAACAAAAGAAACGAAACAAAGGTTAATCACTCGGTCCTGCCAAGCGTTGATTTTATGACTCATTAAATGAGATAAAAACAGCCTCTGACAGCCCCGCTGGATATGTGTTCTCTGATGTAAAGGTGTGTTTCGATGAGATAGTAACTGATTTTATTGGCTGATTGGAGTATCAATATGGGACATCTGATACAAGAGCTCCATCTGGAGATTATGATTTCTATCAGAAAAACTAAAAAGATAAAATGAAATAGAAGATGGAATAGGATAGGTTTCTTTTTCTTTAATGTGTTGGTCAACACAAAGATTCCCATCTTGTGATTTTTTTTATTCCATCAGAGGGGACGTGTGCTTTGTATTGGGATAGGTTGGTGAGTAGAGCTGCAACTTTAAGTCCCATCATTTTCAAATAGGTGTTTTCAGCCTGTTGGGAGTTTTCTCACAACAGGATTGTCACATTGCCTTTTTCCCCTAGTTACTTTCATTTGTCACCAGAGGGGTTGGCTTATGAGAACAAACATGAATAAAATGTGGGGCCCGATCTATTCTCCAGACCAGCAGGGGTCATGTTTCAGTTGTAATCACACAGCAATTCCTGAATGTCCCACAAATTCTCATGAACTGCAGTGATATAGTTGTTATGCAGATGAAAAGAAAAGCAATCATTCTGATAGGATCCCAAAAAAAAGTCTAATGACCACAGAGGTACGTACAATACTACATTGACCCTTCAATCTGCTTTGGGAACACTTGGGATTCTCACTGTTGAAGTGTATGCTTATTTGTTTCAGTTAATTGTGTCTGAAGCATGTCCAGACACCAGACTTACATTCTACTCATGAAACTGCTAACATGTTCTGATTTAACAATGCTGTGCAGCGTTTACTGTCACTGTAATCTACAGTTAAAGCACAAGAGGGGGTTGTTGTAAAGCGGATGGCACCACAGGCCGGACAACAGTGCAGGGATGGGGATAAACTGCAATTTTTGTGGAAAAGAACATTTTCAGAAAAGTCAGCATATTTCCACGAATAATTGTTTGGAAAAATGTTCAGTTACAATTACATTTTTTCCATTTTCCATCCATGAGCTTTAACCGAATATGTTTTTTTTTTTGTGCTTCTTTTTGTGATATATATATATACGCATGTATACATGTCCCATTAAGTTAAGATGTTAGGTGTGTATAAGCACCTCTATAGTAACATTGAAACGTCATCATAAAAGCTTGTAAAACATGCATACACCACACACACCAAAAAAGAAGTGGTGAGAACTATTGAGAACATCATACAACCCCTTCAAGCACTAGCAACATTCTTTAAGATTTTCATTGAGATTCTGTCTGCCAGGGGGTAAGAGTGAAAATATATGGCTCTGGTCCAAACTGTAAATACTGTGTTGTAAATGGTAACACTGGAAGGCAGTCTTATCAAGGCTCAGATTTATCTATATCCCAAAACAGTCTGCAACAAAACAAAAGAAGAACAATAATGAAAAAGTGTGAAAAATAGATAGAAAAAATAGAAATGAATAAGACAACCTAAGATAACTCCCATTATCTTGTAAGGCAACAATAAAAGCTAAAAAAAGAAAAGATAATGGGTAACTTGGAGGTCAAAATAATTTAAACTCCAAATTGTTTTGTTACATTATTTCAATATGAATATAATTAACTAATTCTTAATTGAAATCACAATACTTTCCACAAGAATTGTACAAGCTTAAGCTTTACACTTTTTGTTTAGGCAACTATGGTTTTAAAAACAAAGAAAACAAAAAAAAAACATACCTTTCAAGACATTTAATTTTGAATGATCCTAAACAATCTGGACCATCAATTCTGACTGCACAAACTTTAGGCAAGTAAAAGTTGAAAGAGGGCAAGAATCATCTTTCTAATTTTCTGTCTTGGAAAAAGAAAAGACTGCCAGAGATACATTACATCTGTGTGTGAGTGCCCTTTGTCCACATAGTGTGCAATCACTCTGTTAACATGATTTCAGGGTGGTTTTTGTAACCAGGGGGGCTGCTAGGAACTAAATTGGAGCACATTGGTCTTATGAATATAGCTGATTTAATCTCTGTTTCACTCTTAAAGGCCATGGGCGACGTCTGATGTGACCCCGAGCCACCCTTAGTAGACTGCAGAGATAGGGCAGGGAAAGGGAAAAGTAAAACAGGCGTATCTCTGACAACACGAGATAAAGTAACATCCAAAATTTCAAATTACACGGCCACAACCTACTGCGAAACCCATACAATCCATTATTCATACAGACTCACACTGAAGCACACAAAAATGACCAAGGTTGACACTGGCCTATGCTTCATAGTTTATCATCACAAAATGCAATCTCACCTGTCTAAGTAACCTTTTACAGTTTCTTTAGAAGTCAACAGTATGAAATTTATGGTGAAAATACTCATGTATTGCATCCATCATGGTCATGAAATATTTAGGGTTTGGTCACTTACTTGTTCAGACCTTGTTCGTATGACTTCCAACCACCAATAACTCTTGTGATTGAGGGAGAGAGCAAGGTAGCCACTGCAAATATGAAAGATGGGACTTACACAATACTGACATCAAAGCTGTATGGTGGAACATTTCTGGTGTTCTTTATTGTTTTTTGGAACTTGCATTGGATGGAGTGCCTCTCTGCAGGGGCTAACAGGAGCTTGGAGTATAGTCCAATTTTCATTAAAGTACAATAATTTCTTTAATCTTTGCTGCAATACGGAGGAGCATTAGTCTAGTTTGTTAGTCTAAAACAAACTGAACCAAAAAAATTAAAAATTAAACTAAGCTGGAGTGTTTTAAGCAATGTGTGGATGTCTTAATGTGAAAAATCAGAACGAGATTGAGAACTTCCCTTTTTTTTTGCATTACACTGTATCTTCTATTAAGTGTTGTTGGTCCTAGATTTGATACAGCTTATTGTGTGTTTTTTTAAAGAAGAAAATGTCATAGTCTGACATTACCCCGAAAGAACAAAAACTATCTTTATTTTGTTTAAATCTTCATTCCGTCCTCTACATTAAAATCCTTTCATACTCGTTGAAAAAGCGGTCAGGGTGAACAACAATAGCTAAAGACGGCTCTCTTAAGAAGCCTAATGCAACATCCTTGTTTGACAAGATTTGGCATGAATATTTCAGAGAGCAAGCTTTCAAAAGAATATGTTAAAGGTAAAAGCCTAATTTTTCAAGCTCTCTGAGCAAAGAGACATGGCGCTAGATAACAAAGAGTGAAGTTGGATTTCTTGACAGATAATGCATAGGGGCAAAACCACTTATTAAGCTCGAAAGTTTCGATAAGTGAATAATGTTTGTGTTGCAAACTTTCTTTTTAGAGTAAAACAAAAAAAGAAGACTAAGTCCTTTCCCTTCTAATCCCGAGAAACCATGCCCTCATGAAATATAGCTTGAACCTCTTTATTTAAACATATTTGACATTGTCCTCCTCTCTTCTTACCGCTCAATAATGTGTGTGTTCTCAGCATAGTGCAGGAAAAAAGGCTTCTTTCTTGGTTGTCAAGAATATTTGATGCTACCCAGAAGATTCCGTGAAATGAAGTGAAAATTAGAACAGCATCAACAATGGAAACGGCAGCAGAGCATGATGAGAGCTAGCCTGTGGAGGAGATTTTGCAGTCCTTTAATCACAAGAAAACAGTTGAAGGGAAGCTATTAGGGGAGTAATGCCACTAGATATTGTTCATTATGAAGAGAACACAAAAATAACTGAATGATCTGCCCTGATGCAATTTTTTTTCAAAATGTTTTGTAGTACAGTGAATGTTGTACAGGAAAAATCAGCTAACCCACGAGGTGGAGGACGAGCTACAAAATGACATTAAAGATTAAAGGAAGACGGCATGAAAAGAGAATATGATATACATGCATACATGTAGCATTCCACATGCATATTCATATACACATAGATATGCGATTGTTTTTTGTGTGAGGAAGACTTTAAACAGTTGTCAAACTATTGTTTCAAGTCCAAGCTCTGAATGTCAGTACACTGTGTTAGTGGGCTTATTGTCCTTGAAGAAAATAAAACAGTAAAGTCATGTGCACCGTGTAAATTGCAGAGACAAGGTGAAGAATTACTTTTTGAGTATTAAAGTGCAGCCTATGATGAAAGGAGGAAACATCTGGATTAAAGGTATAAGGATCTGGACTGCAAATTGATTTAGGGACAAAGAAACTCTACTGTAAATTGATGATGATTGTGTTCCTGTGCTGAAATAGAGTTTTTCTTTAGGAATACTTACTTATTTGGCGATATTTGGTCTTTTTTTGTGTCAATAGTATACTTTACCAAAACAATTACTATGAGATTTAGATAATATCATGAACAATAATTCAATACCATGTAATGCTATTATTTTTGTTAAAAAAAGACATACAGTTTGTTCAGTTCAGTCCTAATGTGCTCAGTCTAAGTCGAGTGACTTTATTTTCCCCACTTTAGATCTCTTCCATGCTGATAATACATCTAGAGATCCCCCCGAGACGTAAGGTCAACTGTCATCCAACAAAAATTGAGGCCAGTAGGGATACAGCAAGTTGTCATAACGCATGCAATTTAGTCTGATTGCTCTTCAGAAAATGATGCAAAACTTCACTTATTCCACATTTGAACCACATCGATAAATGGATTTCAGTGTAGTTTGGCTAAGTTGATATTAATCTGCTGACAGTTTGTGTGTGTGTGTGTGTGTGTGTGTGTGTGTGTGTGTGTGTGTCTCTCCATGCCTAAGTATACTTTCTGTGGTGCCCTAGTTTTTTGTGGTTCCATTCGGGGTGAAATAGGGAGCAAAGTTTCCACACTTTATATAGAAGAATCCCACCACAAGAAGACTCTTGTGTTCAGAACACCAATGTACAGTTAAACACTTCGTAACCATTTAGATTTGTATTTTTCATGAGTCTATAAATGTACCTCACTTGAACATGCTGGCGCATGAAATCTAAAACTCAAATTAAAACACACTGTCAGATGACAGAGTGTCACATATCATTACCAAAGACAGGTCAGTATAAGGTGACACAGCCAAGATGGACACCAGCGCTAGGAGGCATTGTTACCCAACACACACACATGTGCGCACACACACAGAAAGACACCCACATAGACAATTTATTACAAGCAAGGAATAGACATCATGGGACCTGACGTGAGCTAGGGTTTTTCATCTGATTGGCTGTCACATGCACTCT